ACATAGAACATCGCGATTATTAGATATACATACGGGTAGTGTTTTTTAATCGAACCTGCATTCGTGTTTCAATTTGTTCATACATACATACATATGTATTTATGTACATACACATACATATGTGATACATGTTAGGCAAGTTGAGATATGGCCAAGTTCAAGGTCATGGTTGATGCATGCAAAGGTGGTTTAAATGAGCTTGATCGGCGTCTCAGATTTTAAGCTTAAACCTTGAAATATTTCCAGCTCACTTTTTTCTCAATTCTCAATGTATGATCATATACATACATACAACTTCAAACACAGCACAACACAACACAACAACACACGCTTAGATTGGAAACTCTATTTGATGTGAAAAAACAAATTGTATGGCCAAATTACAATACAATCTCCTTTGGTTGCCAGCTAGCTCTTTTCGACAATTATTCACAGACTTTTCCCATATTTTTTAACACACTACACACTTATGTTTTTATCTGGAATTCCTGTTCTTGTTTGAACGAAACAAAAAAAATTTTAGTGTTTTTCGTCCTTTTCTTAGTTGCATTTTTAATGAAAACAGTTACATTTTTAGTTGTAAAGGTGGAAGTGTGCAGCAAAACCTCGAAATGTTATGTATATGTAAATTTTATTCCGATTTTCCGTACTGGTTGAGACCCAAAAGATCGATAACGGTGGTCGTAGTTTTACTAAAACAATAGAAATCGGCATTTTTGTGTATTTTTTTTTTTTTAAATTTAACTTAATGGTGATAAGACGTCTTTGTACGATTTTGTCCCTTTATATGGACATGTTTAGCTATTTTCGTTAAAAGTACATAAATTTCCCTTCTACTTTAAATTCGTTTTGGGGAAAGGCAGAGGAATTGAAAATAAATATGACCATCTGCGCTCTTCTTTCTCTTCTTTCTTCTGCAGAATTGCGAGTGTCAAAACTTAAACGTACGAAGTCTAGAAGAGCTAAAAGGTCTGTGAAAAGGGAAAGTGCTGGCATTCGAGTGGATTTAGGGCGTTCCGTTAGAGTGCAGAGGTAAATGAAAACCCTTTTTAATTAATGCACAATTCTATGCCAAATAATGCGCTTTTCTCTTTCACTTACTTTACTTGTTCAAATCAGAGATGAATCTTGCGCTCCTGGTACTCCTGGTTCCACAGCTACCCCATCAAATTTGTCGAAAAGTCCGTATACGTGCAAAAATTGTGGTCGAGTCTATCAGAGGTTTTTCACATTGAAACGTCATTTGACAAGCGAATGCAACCAGCCAAAAAAATTTATTTGTGTTATTTGCGGGCGAGGCTTTCATCATAATTTTAAGCTAACGCAGCACTACATGCGCCTGCATAGGTCGTTGCCACCGAGCTGAGTTTATTCGTAGTTTATTTAGTAATTGTTCATGTACATTTACTTTTCCAAGCGTATATATGTACATATGTACATATGCATGTATGTATGTGTCGTATCTCTATATATACATAAATACATCGTATCCAAAAACATTTAAAAAATACCCCAAATTGAATCATTTTATGCGTCATCAACAGTGAGGTTTTTAGCATAATCCTATTTGAAATAAAAATAGGTAGAGTAAAAAGTCATTGCGTATTTTTGTTTTGCATGTTTTTCAAAGAAATTTATACATACCTACAATGTAGATTCTAAATATGTACACGCATACATATGTATGAAGATCAAACATAATATAAATTATTCACGTTTGATGATCTTTTGTCATCTTTCGGAGAAATTCATAACACTGTACGGCAAAATCAACATTTTTTCTCGGCATTGAACCAAAGCAAATTTTTTTTTTTTACCTTTAGTCATAGGTAAAACAGTTATTTCTCCGTTTTTCGAAGTTGGCTTCCGAAATCGAGATATGGGCCTTCGAAGTAGTCCTCCTTTTGCTCTTATTTAAATGCTATATAACTTTTTTTTGTGCAAACTTATATTACCGGTGCTATAAGGGGTCAAAGTT